AAAAAATTTTAAAAAAAAAAAAAAAAAAAAGAAAAGAAAACAGAGAGGAAAAGAGAGAGAATATAAGAGAGAACACAAAATTAAAAGAAGAAAAGAAAATGGGAAATAAGTGGAAAGGCTTGGTGCGTACTCTCGACTTGAACTCGATCGTTCGGTGTTACGAAAGAAAAGTTAAACCGAAGAAAAAGAGAGGAAAGGAAAAGATAAGGAGAGAAAAGGAAGATAGAACAGCAAAAAAATATAATAATAAAAATATAATAGACCAACGCGTTTTGTCAAAACTTAATTAATAAATAGTCGGATTAAATTAGATTATATTACTAATTATTACTGTTTGTCGCTAATAATTATTATTACTACTACATTATGATAATAATGAATGATAATATATTAATGATTCTTATAATACTTCGATGGGCGAGGAATGGACGCGTCTTTTCACCACCCTTCCTCTTACAATAGTAGCGCCTCTCTGTCGATTATCGTGCAGACCCATCGATTTTCCACGAACAACCATGATTTTCCATTTTCTATTCGATTCTCTTTTCGATTTCTTCCCCACGCATACGCTTACGCGTTAGCGTGGTCGTGAATCGAAACTTCGAAAGGCAAGAAACCGATCGATCGATTGTTTCGATTCAATGAACCAATTAAACAAAACTAACACGTGATCATGATTCATCCTCGGTCTTATCATCGAGCAAAATATCCCTCGATTTTAGCTATTTCTTTTCAATTAAAAAGACCACTTCAGGAGCGTTCAGACGATCAATATTGTTGTCAATATTTCAGATTTTCAACAGTATTGTACGTACAAGATCCTCTAGATGACCAATATATATTGTCAATACAATGTTAAGAACCTTAAATATTGACAATAATATTGACAATAATATTGATCGTCTGAATTCTCCTTTCCACCTCTGTCTTCTCATTCCCTTCGTTCGATACCACGATTCTTTTCTTTTTTTGATTTTCATATTCATCGATCGAGTCACAAACGATCGATGAATGAGTTAAAAAAAAAAAAAAAAAAAAAAAAAAGATCGAAGGAAAAGCAGCGGATCTAGCCGGAAGTGGCGATGGATGTCTCGAGGTAGCTACGCCAAACGTAGCTGGTCTATGTATAGAAAACATAGGGATCGTTCGAACGACGCGTACGATTAATACGGATGCTCCCGGTTTTTACTCTTTCTTTTTTTTTGTTCTTTTTTCATTTTCTGGCTCTCTGGCTCACCTTCCAACACTGGCACTCGTTAAATAACGTCGAACCTCACCGGCTGGCCGCTGTGATCTACCGCGAAACTATTGGATCTCTGTGCGCGTGTCTTCCTCGCTCGAGAAGATCGCCTCTCGAAAGGCTTATATATATATATCTATAACATAAATCAGGATACCCGAGATCCATAGATTTGATCGTGGATCTGGAATCGCGATTATAGACTCTAAAGGGCTTGGAGAATGAATAAAAAAAAAAAAAAATAGAGAGAATAAAAAAGAAACAATGAGAAGATCGTAGCTGACGAAGGAAATGGCACCACGACGACCGACGCATTTCTCTCCCCCTTACAGTTCGATATTCTATATTAAAAAATTATCTCACGATTCTCTCGTGTGTATATGATGTGTATATTTGTGTGTGTTTGTACTGAACCGACCCGAGAATTCGATATTAATATCATAGCAATTATTGTATATATATGTATAATATATATATCATCGAATCGCCTGTTTGTGCCTCTTCGTCACATCGTTCTTGCTCTTGAATCTTTCTTACGTGATCGATTTAATAGGATAGAGCTACGGATGCAAGCACGTGCAAGTGAATTACGAAATAAATACGATGATTAACAAGCACAATGTACAATAGACGAACGAAAGGAGAGAAAACGAGAGAAAGAAAGGTTTTAGACAATGTGTGCAAAAGAAAGAGAGAAATTTAAGAGAAGAAGGGGAGAGAGAGAGAGAGAGAAAGAGAGAGAGAGAGAGAGAGAGAGAGAGAGAGAGAAGAGAAAAGAAATACATTAAACGTTGATATTTACCGTTTAATTAATTAGCTTAAAAACTTGAGATCATTTTCGTGTCAGTATATGTATTATACGCGTGTACGTGTGTAACGTGTCTATGTGTGAGCTCCGTTTTTCCATGTGGAGCATCGAAGATTATCCAGACGACTTTTACAAAGGATCCACCCGAAACTATATATGCATATCGTCGTTCGATTTTTTGGAGTTATGATTTGTGGGCGTTTTAGATGATTTATGGGCGTTTTAGATGATTTATGGGCTGGACGATATTGGATAAAAATCTACTACGATGGCGCCGATTAATCGAATTAGAATTAAGGACGATTTTGGTCCTGCATGATGCACATGTATGTGTGTGATGATGCAACAACAACAACAACAACAACAATGGGGTACACGTGTTACAAAAAGGAGAACGTGCGGAAAAATAAACGGCAGATCGACTCTCATAGTTACAAAATTGATCCAGCTTTGTACAAAAATGGATCATAGCAAGCGCGCACGTGCTACCAGCGTACATGTTTGCAACTCCGTGTGCCGTGTGTTAAAATGTTGCGAAGAAAACAATTATCTATCGCGTCTAGGCATGGACTAGCTAAATACGATTACGACTCTACCAGAATACGAGACCTTTTCCTAAAAATAACAAAAAAAAAAAAAAAGAAAAAATAAAAAAAGAATCAAAGATATATAATTGGATACGTTTCATTCGTTCTTCGTCTTCCTTTCATTATCTTACTTTTTTACATCGTTTTTTCTTCTTTTGTCCTTTTTCCCATATTTTTACTTTCCATTTATTCTACTCTAGGTCGTATAACATATTCGAAGTCATTTCTCGAAAAGAACAATGGTTCTTCGAAAGAACATGGCCGATCGCCCTTTTGTGCCGTTAATCCAGTTACCGTGAAAATTAGCCTCGATTGCGATCAAGTGTTTCTCTAAGCGCGTGACACGTCTCTGTCGATCAGCTGCTTCGTATTCCTCCTCCACCTTCAGCCTTGAATTTGCCGTTCTAAATACCAAACATCTTCATCGTGTTCGATATCCATTGTTGATCTGATTTCCTTTTCTTGTCCGCTCGCAACATTTTACCGTGATTCGTGTAAAAGATCGATATAAAAAGGGAAGCCCCGATTAAAATTGAATCCTGCGACGAAACGTCTGCGTTGCGAACCAGTCACCTGCTGCATACTTTTCTTGCTTCTCCTCTGTTTCCCCTGTCTGTTACGTTTATTATTTATTTCCCGAAAAAACGTGAGATAGAAAAATGGCAGTGCAAACGTGTTGTTTCTTCTTCATCTTCGTTTTGTCTTTTTTCGTCAATAACAACTATACACATCTAGGACGATGACCTGATAGAATTACGATAGAAAGCCTCTCATGATGACAGTTTGCTCTTTTTGCTCGTTGATCCCCTCTCAATGTTAGCTGCTTGTTGCTCTGTTTCTCTCGTTGTTCTCGTGACTCGTTTCACGTTCTTCGTGTCGAAGTTGCACGGCACGGAACAGCGTCGTCAAGTGAGATTCGTGTCGTTTGAAACCCACTTTTTCACTCGATCAGTCCGACGAGATCGCTCGATCGATTCCTGGCACGGTTCTTGCTCATCGATGGCTGGAATCGCGCCCTCCGACGTTTACTCATCCAATGGCCCCTCCCTCCTGATATGGGCCAGTTATCATGCACGGATGCATTGGGAAAAGGGTGGTCCAGGTCATGGTGGTATACGTAGGCGATCTCATCATGAACTGAGAACTAGGAACACTGGGTATGTAAGGTAGCGGAGTGGATTTTTCGGTGTTGATTGCACTGGCTGGACTGGTTGGAGTTGATGGAGTAGACAGTGATTGCGAAGTGGACGATGATGTAGTAGTAGTGGTGGTGGTGGTACTCGCAACACCTAGTTTCCTGAGTCGCATTTTTTCTTCCCATTCGTCCCATCCGTGTCTTGGTCGATTAAGATTACGATGTTGGTAAAAGACCAGGCTGATTCTGGTTGGATTCAGACGATTAGGCTTTTTGAGAGCCGTGGTGGCATGCATCTCGTGCTTGGCGCACTCGAACAACACGCTACCGTGGCTCAATGCAATGGCGACTCCACCCATCTGCGAGTCCTTGAAGCACTCTTCGTTGTCGGAATAGTCGGCTATCTCTCCTAGTGGTTCTGCTTTTGGAGGAGGTTCTGGTAACACCGGAAAGTAGGGTGGTGGTCCGTAAATATCCCAGCGAGGAGTGTCCCATCTCGCCCAACCTGGATTCAGACCTTGATACGGGGGCACTCCTTGATAGGGATATTGAGGCGAAGGAAAGCAGGCTTCTCTCTTTGGTTGCTGATAGAATTGAGGTGGATACTCCGGTGTCTGATGGTGTGGATACGGTTGGTGATAGTTGTAGCCTTCCCAAGAATTAGAATATGGTTTGTCGAAGACAGGGTATGTTGGATACAGTCCGTATTGTGGGAAGGAAGCGTGAGGATGTCCCAAGCCCGGCATCCCGTGGAAGTCTTGCACCTGTTTCATCTCTTCGGCCCATGGAAAACAATTCGAGTTTGGATTCGCGATGTTCTGCCTGGAATCGTGGAAACCCTCCTTCGTCTTATCTTCCGGCCACTCTGTTCTTCGTTGGTTACCTTGATGTGTCGTCATGCTGCTTTGCACCGCGTTGTTGCTTGGACTGTCCGCGTAGACACCGTTCCGCGTCGGCTCCTGAGGCTTAAGGAACGTTCTATTGGAAGAATTTTGATATGTATTGTCTGTGTTTGGATTCTGGTTTGACGCTGTCCTCGACGGTGGTCTGCCCTTTGGCACCCTGAACGGAGAAGGATCCGAGGGTGTTTCCCAGCAAGGTGGTTTCGACTGGTCCGGATGCGGTACTCTATCGTTCCAATTAAATGTTTTCTGGTGGTCTGTAGGTTGCTGGTGATTCCTATCAGGACCTATTTGATCGTTATAAATCTGTTGTTGATCGAAAGGTTTGTTTTGATCGGGATACCAAGTACCTAACATGTTCCAGCTTCCCACTTGGTCGGAGGACGCCGGTGACATTTGACTAATTCCGGGTGTCTTTTGTTCAGGAACCTTATACATCCGATATTTTCTCTGATCGAATGATCCTAAGCTCTGAGTGCCGTTTGGTGGATTGTTGGGCGGAAGATGCGTCGAGCTGTGTAGCAATAGATCCGCATTCGTGGCGCTGAATGGCTTGTGACTAGTGTTACCCATGCAAGAAGACACCGACAGGCCAGTGAACATGTCCGCGTTCGAATCATGCTGGCCCTGATATGGAAGATTTCTTCCGGACTGCGCGGTATGAGGGGGGTGATAATGGCCTGGTATCCTGTTCACGAAAGGCTGTTCGATCTGCGATTTTTGAGCCTCTAAGTAGTTCTGCGTGGTAGGGTACTTTTGCTGACTAGAATCTTGCGCAGGTCTGGAGTACGGCAATTTCGACTGATCGCAGCTCTGGCCAACGTTTCGAACGTTATTTACGTTGTGCGATTGATGATGATGATTCGTTCGGTTGAGTGCGTTCCTCTGATCCAAATGGACCGGAAAATTTGTACAGCTTGTCTTCGGGGATGTACTACCCTGCCTGGTGTCGTACATATTCGGATAACTTCTGGAATTGGGAGGTGGGTGGCCGTAGCCCGTGTCCGGATACCCGGAGCTTCTTGGCGAAGCGATTCTCTGGTCTTGATGTGTAGTTGGACATCCTCTAGGAGACATGGAGTAACCGATATCCCCTGGTGTTCCTGTATGAGAGCTCCTTGGTGAAATAGGATGAGCTCTCGGTGAGTGTGGATAACAGTTCCTCGGCGAGTCCATGGTGGAATTAGGCAAATTTCGCGAACCTGGTCGATGTTCATCCTGAGAAACGGTGCTCCTAGGCCTGATATCGTCTAGACTTGTACTGTCTGGGTCAACTTTTGCGTCTCTGTCCAGACCACTGAACGAGTATTCTCTCCACGGGTTTAACCAATTATTTTTTCGCTGATCGAGCCAACCGTTTCTACCCCACTGTTGTTCATTCTGGTAACTCCATCCTTGGTACATGGACACTGGACTGTCTAAAACAGTGGAGGACACCTGAGAGCTTTGTAATTGAGCATCCATTCCTTCGAACATAGACGCCATTTCCAGGGATAGTTGGGAGTCCCTCATTTGCGGTCTAGGTATTTCTTGGTGTCCTGGTACACGTCCTGGGTCCGCCATTTTTTCAGCAGTGCTTTTGGAACTATCTTTCTTATTGCTAATGGTATCTGGCTCGTCTTCTTTCCTTTTCTTGCCGTGTCTTCTGCAGGGTTGGAGTGGAACCGATCGAACTCTCACTTCGCAAGGATATCTATGAATTAGATGATACGTATTTGTAAAATTCATTACTAGAAGAATTCTGTGCGAGTGATTGTTTGTCATATAAATAACAAAATTATTTACTTTGTCAAAACTTCTACAGCTCCAGCGCGAACCTTCTCATCCTGTCCCTCTTTCGACCCATTCTCATCCGTAGTATCCATGATGTAAAGGGGAAGTACGTGCAACTGTTCCTCTTCAGGTTTCGATAGAGATCGGTGTTTTGTCATAGTGACCACCTTTAAGATGAAAAATTACAGCATAGTTATTTCATCTAAATCTTTACCTTTTCAGAATTATTAAGTATTGGAAAAAATTAAGTGTCTCTTTAAGTCACTTACCACTGTACATCCGTTGTTCATGTTGTGAAGATCACGATGAGAATGCGCGCAGAAGTCGATACAGGCCGTAACACCGGAAAAGGGTCGGCCAGGTTTAAATCCCAAACGGCACTCGCTCGCTTCCCGTTCGAATTGTGTCTGATTGTTGAATGCTTCCGGTGCAAGGCTGAGATACAGAGGCGATAAAAGTGTTGCTAGGACGTGCATTCTTTCTTCGACTTCTTGCTCCTATAATAAAAATAAAAAAGAACGAAACGTTATATTTGTATACAATAAGGAAGACAAGAATGACAATTAACCCTTAGTACCATATATTATAACTAGGTAGGTCTTGAACTTAGAATTTTTGATACAACATTTCTACATTAATAATGAAATCTACATGGTAAATAGACATTTATAGCAAATAGTTAAGACTTTCGATGGTATCCTTGTTAAATTCAACACAGATAACGAATATTGTTATGACAAAAATATGATAATTTAAATTATTAACAATTAATTATAATTTAGATTGTTATGATATATTCCTCACCTCTGATCGTACTGACAATCGAAATTTACGGACGGTTTTACTTCTGGCGTATTTGCAACCATTATAATACATTGACCAGGAACATCCAAAGGAAAAGCTTGCACCGCAAGTATCAGGATCGAGACCTTGGCAAGCACAGGTTCTCGGTTCGTTCGTTCCACATCGTCTAGTAGTAGGAAGACCGAATCGATTCAGCTTATGACTTAACAGGGAATAGATTCGATCGGCTTCGTGAGTGGGTACGCCTTCCCAAGCAACCATGGCCACGACGATCCAAGCTGTTGGGCACTTGTGCCCTTGTCGGTGTTTCACTATGGTCAGGATCTTCTCCTCCAGACCAGATCGTCGAAGTATCTAGCGAATCACTGATATTACAATCCCATCACCAAAGCAGTACAGAGTAATCTTAGTGGGCGATTCAAAGCTATCGACTGGAATAGGTTGGATAAAATTCAATTTAAAAAGAGACGAGTGGATTCGCTTTGACTTCGATCTAAAATATTAGTGGACTGCGAATCTCTATGCAAATTCATATTTTTATGAATGTTATTAGACAAATGGAGATGTAAATATCTGTTTTATTAATTTCAAAATATTATTCAATATATTATACAAAATTTGCTTATTTCGAATTATTACAAAAAATTTAAATTATTTAAATTTTTTATAAATGCGTAAACATTCGGTACAAGTATGGGTAATATATAGAATACAGTAATATGCTTACCCATTTAGCCATCGGACATCCCTGAGTGGTTTTCCCTTCTTTTCCGGTGTAGATGACCTTTTCGAATCTAATGGCGTTTCCCTTAAGGCCGGTTCTTCTTTCAAGATCGTTCCGTAGGTCAGGCAGGCTTGCAGCCGCCCCGAGATGAGTGTAGTACGAGCCGGGCTCTGGCGGACCTTGTGGTTGAACCTCATTTTACTTACGAAACTGGACGTTTCAACGGAAAGGAAGCAACAGAAGCGGAAACATTTATGCCACGTATGTAGTAGGTATGCCCCCTGGGAAAGGGGGGTAAGTTAGGTACGTGCATTCTTCTTTGGGTCACTGAATCAAGGCTCGGTTTATTTTTTGTTGGCCAGTAATATTAGTAGTGGTAGTACATAGAGTAGTAGTAGTAGCAGTAGTAGTAGTAGTATAGTTATATATATATTTTTTTCTTTAAGAAAATTTTGTTCATTTTTTGATTATTTATTTATCTATATTTTCGTGTGAACGTGGTTAGTGTGTTCTCTCAATGTTAGTGTCGTGCTGAATACGCAATAGCAACTCACATTTGTCAGCTGGGAAGCAGTTGCAGTCCGGCACTTCGCTCCTGACATTGTTCTTCAGTTTGTCCAAGTGATCTTGCAACTTAGTCGTTGAAGGCACGCTACCGGTACGTGGACTTTGAGTGCCTTCGTTCTTTACGTCGGACTTGTCCGCTGAGTCGGCCAATATCTCGTCCCTCGTTTGCAAACCCTGGCAACAACCCTCCCGCAAATGCTCGGGTGTCGGTTGTTCGGTGCCGCCTCGTCGACAACACCACGAACCGACACCCGGAGACACTTTAGCGGGTCCGCCATCGCCACGAAATTTGTAGTTGTTACCTTCCTGCGCCCTTTGGTCCGGTTCACTCTTGATTTCCTTCGACGCGCAGCCATCGCTCTTTGACGAGACCGTCGGCGATGGAACGCAATCGGAGCTAGAGCAACCGTACTCGACGATGTTCTCCTGCTTGATATTCTGAGAGGAATCGCAGTTAGAGCTGTTGGTTGGCTCCGTCGACGCGATCTTTTCGCTGCTTTCTGGATAATTTGATGTGTCGTTCTTGTTCACTAATGCGACTAATGGAGTTTCTGAAAAACCAACATCGTTCTCGGTCCCATCGTTCTTCTCGCTGTCTGCGTTGCTGTTTTCGCAAGATTCGAAAGTTTTATCGTTGGTTGGCTGTTCTATGCATAGTCTCCTCTGAAACGATTTATCCTCGATGTTTTGATTGTCATGGCTCTTACTTTCATCCTTCCATAGCTGTCGTTGCTCGTGTTGTTGTTGTGATTGTTGGTGATAGTGTGATTGCTGTTGCTGTTGTTGTTGTTTTTCGTATGGTTTGTCCAGCACGGACTTATCCTCTGAACCAAACTTCATGAAGCTGTCGATGACCATCATTCCGTTTTCCGGCAGAACGGTACCGTTATTTAATGTGTTATTACTTCCTCCTGACCATTCCCATAAGCCACCACCATCGGGCAAACTATCGACCCGAGGGTGGTGGCTATGCAATAAAAAATTACCGGTCAAAGATTCGTTGGATTGCGCCATCGAGATGATATTCGACTGACTTAAATACTGGTCCGCCTGCTTCTCTTGCAATTTCTCCGTATTGTCATGCGTGTCTCGTATCCTGTCTTCTGTATGGTATTCGCCGTTAGCTCCGTTGTTACTGTTCACATGTTGAGATTGCATTTGATGATGCATATTGTGATGTTGTTGCTCCTGATGGCTCATTTGATGCTGAGACTGTTGCTGCGATTGCTGCTGTTGAAGCTGTTGATGCTGTAGTTGTTGTTGCTGCTGTTGCTGTTGTTGTTTATTTAGAATCATCGATTTCAGTCGACTATTCAAATTAACGCGATTTGATTGAGCAAATACATTACTCTCCTGAGTATCTTGCGTATCGACGAACCCATTCGGTTTTCCGGTGTCCTGCTGCTGCCAAAGTACTCTTTCCCCGGAATTCTGCATGTCTTGTTTGGTCGTTTGTTGGCCCCAGGTAGGTTGGTTCTCGGCCACCGAGTTCGGTGACCAAGACATTTGGTTCTCCATTTTATTCTCTTGTGTGGGTGGCTGAGGCTGCCACGTTCCCGGTTGATGGCCAGGTGTTCTCCTCGGACTAGGCTGCGAATCTGGCCATTGTTGTTGAGGTTGTTGACTACTGTCGCTCTTTATACTATTAGGCGACCAATTCGGTTGACTAGTTGGCGTGTCTGGCCAGGACATCTGATTAGACGGAGTAAGTCTAGGACTCTTCTCCAGTTTCGTCTGTTGCGACCACTGCTGCTGCTGTTGCTGTTGTTGTTGCTGTTGCTGCGTCCCAGGTTGCGGCATCTGTTGGTTAGATGGCGTCAGCCTTGGATTCTGTTGATTCGAGTTCTGTTGCATCTCTGGACTGCTCTGCTGCCAGTTGTGTTGGTTGGAGGGCGTCATCCGGGCGTTCTGATGAGACGGATTCTGCTGATGGTCTGACAACTTCGGCGAGTGCTGCAGCCAGCCTTGGTGCTGAGGCTGCTGTTGTTGACTAGACGGTGTCAATCTCGGATTCTGCGAAGCGTCCCTCAGCTTCGGACTCTGCCGCGACCAATTTCCCTGAGTTTGTTGCTGCTGACTGTTGTCCGTATTATCTGTCCACGACTGCGGAGTTTGTGGCGTCTCCTTCACGCTACCGTTCTCCCAACTCATATGGCTCGCTGGTCGGGGTAATTCTTGTTGTCCTTGCATCTGCATACTTTGCTGTGTCTCTTGTCCTTTCATACTATTGCTCTGCATACCCGGTTGCTGTTGTTGTTGAGGAGGTTTCTGGTGTTGCTGATGCTGTTGCTGTAACGTCCCATCCGACCAGTTCATGTTGTTGCTCACGTTGCTCATTTTCGTACCGGTACTGGTATCGGACCATAAATGCCGTTGGCTACCGTCAGGTATCGAATGTTGCCGTTGCATGTGCTGTTGCTGGTGTTGTGGTTGCTGAGATACCTGCTGCGGCTGCCATTGGTTCTGTACTTGTTGACCCATTTCCACGTAGCCTGGATATCCGTTAGAGTTGTGTAAACTCTGTGGGCCCGGTTGAAGTGGATACCCAGGCATCTCGTTTCCCGACACGTTGCTGGCCGCGATCGTCGCGAATCCCTTCACCTGCGTATCCGTTGGCTGTTGTTGCGGTTGCGACGGCGGTTGCTGAGAGGCCTGTTGTTGCTGCTGGTTGTCCATGTGTACGGAACTGCTACGACTCGTCGGAGTGGTTGAAGGCGGCGGTGCCATCGTCACGTCCTGGAAAAACGCATCATTCCATCTATAACTCAAAAATGTTCGGGAATTGACTGTATATTATTGCTATTCACGAGGATGCTTCGTGAGAGATTAACTTTAATTTTAAGTGCATTAAAAAATATTTTATGCTTTGATATTTTTAGATATATATAATGGTGCAACGATCCTCGAACTTTCATATTACCATCTCAAAAATATGAGATAAAAATACAGAACAACTTCAAAATTCAATTAATTTTTTAAGGACCGAACACCATAATTGAAAATGATCCAGAGGATTTAACAATTAATTAATTTCTAATTAGATTATCTTTATGAACCTAAGAAAAACTTTCTTTTTTCTATCTTTCGTGACTCTTAGATTTTTCTAAAATTCAATATTCTATCTTCGTTCGTGTTCGAGAAGATATTCGAATGAGCTGACTTTTAATTAAAAGCGATTCATTTCTAATTGTACCTGTTGTTGGTAACCATTGACGTAATCCTGCCTTTCATAACCAACTGATTGGGTTGCAGTAGCAGCGGGATCCATGAATTGACCGTTTAGTGGCCTCTGAGCTGTCGATGGTACAGTTTGTGGGGCGACTGGTGGCAAGGGTGAGGGTTGTCCCGTGATTGTGTATTGTCCTGTCGCCCCGGCACGTTGAAATGCCGACTGATCCGTAGTAATGAAAGTCTGCTGCTGATATGCGACTGTAATCAGAAAATTCACGTGCCGATTCCACGGAAACTGACGGCATATCGGCGGGACAAAGACCTGCATAGTTGCACACTTTGCATTCCACGATCGTTCTCATTCGCGAGGAATTCTGAATCGTCGAATTCAAGTGATCGAAACTGTGAATACGAATTTTATCATATTTGAGCTGTTCAGAAACCATACTCATCAGCGTTATAAATCGAAAAATAGAGAAAGACGATGATGTTACAACATTATTTTTTTTAATATCTTAAAATCTTTTTTTTAATCTTAAAATCTAACGTCGTTTGTACCATTTCCTTGTAACAAACTGATCAATGAAATTGCATATTAGTGGCTGAAAGACTCATTCTAGCTTTTTTTTTTTATCAAAATTAATGTTGCTTTATATCTATTGAAATTTTAAAATTAGCATCAAGGCAGTAAATATTTTATAGCATATGCTATGACGTTATTTTATAATAGTCGAAGAATATAAATATCTCACGATCGATAAGTCAAGAAAAGAATTGTGAAATTTCTAACGAGAATAAATATTTTCTACTCGATAAAACTTGAGAAGGTAAAATAAAAAAAAGAAGAGACACGTATCGGACAAATTCGTAAATTCTTCAAAATCGATTCCCTCTTCAATTACCTGGTTGTGGATGGTATGGCGCTGCGGCGGTGTATTGGGTATGATACCTCAGCTCTTCGAGCTGATTCGGAGCAGGAATTTGTTGAATGAACTGCTGAGGTGGCCATGGTGCTGCTGACGTTTCAACCGCAACTGCTCCCACGGGAGCGACTCCCTGGTGCCAAACAGTATTCCCAAAGCCGGCTGCTGGCCGAAAACCGGCGCCAGTATCACCGTAAAATGGCATCACTCCGGGTGACTGTAACATCAACATGGGACCTAACTTTAGTTTCACCTTGAATCGAAGCTCTTAATGGTTTTCTGATACATATCGAGTTTTTTCGTACGTTGTAAATTTTTCAACTAAAAAAAAAAAAAAAAGTAGCATGAAAAAGTAGCTGTACTTGTTCTACTCAACAAAGAGTAGAAAGTTCAGAGTTAATGTGATTTTTGTCTTGAAATATCCCTTCAAACTTTGATCGAGGTTCTTTGGACTATTTCTTGATGCGGAAGAATCGACAGTTGGTATATGGGTAATGTAATGTTATTTCTAGCCTCGATACTGAGTTCCTCAAGCGAAGTCTACTTTAAATACTCGCCATTTTAGACATTCAGATTGTCTTGGATTTAGACAATTTGTAAGTGAAGTTATTTGACCAATGTACCTATGTGTGAACATAAACTTGAAACCATGTTAAGTGAATACAATCAGCGTGAATCAAGTAACTTGATTAATCCAAACGAATCTTTAATAAACTAGTATCAAGTTATTTGTATACAATGGGCTCGAATAACAAGGATGAGCATAGAAGCTCGAAGAAATATTTCAAGTCGACTAAGCAACAATTTCACACTGATCGAGTGTTTTCGAGTTGTTCGAATACCATCAACCAGAAGTCAAATAACTTAACTAACGAAGGCAAGCATGCGAACTATAGAATATTTCAAATCGGAGCAACAAGTTCGCACCAAAAAAAGGTGATTCCATGACTAATTTGAACGAGACTACACTCGGAAACGTTCGACGATTCGAAGCTCGAACGAACTGATAGCCACTGTCGTGTACAGAGTGGGGGAATAGCCATTCGTCAGCAATGGTTCCTTAACTATGCACAGCGCAGAGGTTCTCAACTTCTTCCAGCGTCCAACGAGCAGCATAATGAGCACACGCTTCTACAACGATTCTACGAACTCCTTCAGCTACGACGGTATATACGCACACGTTCGCGACCCAATTAAATAAAGAGCTCGAAGCAGCGCGGTAATAAAGCCATTAATCATGCCGGGAGGTGGGTTCGCGTGGTCCGCGGGCACCGCCGCGCCGTGGTCTACCATTATTTCCTGCATGCCTTCGCGCGTTCTCATGGTCAAAACTTGCTTCTCGACCTCCCGCTGCCTCGTAAAGCTATCAATCTCGTGAACAAAGAGAGAGTCGCGTGACTCGATTTGACGAATGCAACCCCTTTTACGTAGTTTCGACGTGTTCCCGTGACTGTTCGATGCAGACGCGGGGGTGAAACAGAGATGAACGTGGAAACGAATGAAGCATCGTGGAACGCGGAGAATCTCACGGGGAATTGGTCGATGTTGCGAAACCGGGCCGAGAAAATGCCAGGACTTGGCGGCGATGATAATCGGTCGACGATGGTCTTCTTCCTTGAGACATATGGAACTTTCGTGTAGTGGATCCGTGAGACAATACAATGGAATCGCCACGTATGAAGAACTATACCTGCGCGATGTACATACTTTCGTTTATTTTCGTTCGAGTCCCGACCAGCGATGGCTTGAAGAAGCTTGCAGCATCGAGAGGGTATTTTCAGTGAAGGTTTTGAAATTATGATGTGTTGTAAGATCGGACGAGTTGCGGGACAGAGTTTCATTCTGATCTGATTTGTGCTATTGGCACATACTAAACATAGTAATTGCACTTTTCAACTGGATCGTTGTATATAAACTATCGAGACTAGAGAGAGAGCAATTATCTTTTCATTTTTAATTGTGTTCATTAATTACGCGAGACAGATGATATTAAATGAGAAAGATTCATTAAATGGGAGAAGCTAGTGTGTAATAGCGTTTTAAGATAGAGAGAGAGAGAGGAAAATGGAATATTTACATGTACGTGACTGTTACGTCACCGTATCTTTTGGAACTATACCTGAATTAAACATAAGCTAAACACGTGCGTATACCAAGAGAAATGAATTGTCTAATTTATCTTCCTCTAATTTATCTTTCAAGATGTTAGTTTTGTCTTTTGAAATTTCTACTAGAAGCTTAAGAAGCCTATTATGTTATCGAAGAAGGTTTTGAGGCTGTAGGATAAAACGGGAAGAATTGTTGGGAAGAGTACCATTTTGAAGTCTGATAGGGAATTTAGGTTACCCTGTTATAGACGTAGGATATATAGAATATATGAAGGAGTAAAATTATACTTTGCAACCGTATGAGTGCATGACTATAAAGATAACAGAGAAGAAATGTGGGACATACAACGCTATTTAATTTTGTCTTCCGAAATTTCCAACAGACACTTTATGCTATTGTCTCTGTAGCCTTGAATCGTTTGAAAACTTGTGAAGTAAGGAAAACACAATTATTATCATATAACCGCTCTCAGAATGGTAGAAAGTCTTAAAATGTTGCGACATCTTCGATCTCTATAGCATGATGTACAACGATGTCGAAATATAGTAACATCATTCTATACTTCATTCCCTTCTAAAATTGATTTTCCATTTTTCAATGTTATATTAATATTCAATTCTTCAATTAATCAAATCTCTCCTTGACTCGTCTCATTTAAATTCACAAAATTCCAAAGATTCTTTGTTGCGACAGCATTTAGAATTTCAAATAATAAACATTTCGTTTCAATCTACCTATATTAATTCCAAATAAAAAATACATCGAATTTCGATCTCCATGGACGAACTAGCTTGCTTATACCCAAATCTAATTCTTTTATTATACCAAGCTTCCAAAAAATTTAAAAAAAATTTGAAACACTTCTCAACACTTTTGCTACCTTATGTAACCATTCGGTTAAGTCAAACATCTGAAATTTCTTCTAATAGAAGTAGGAATTCGGAAGAAATTTAAAGATGAAATGTCCTGTTTCTTTATGAAGAATTAAAAATTCCTTCCTGCAATCTTGACCAAAGTTTTAAATCTTTCTTATTATGTATTATTTATCATTTATTATATATAGATCTCACTTATCGGCTTAGGACAGCTTCTCGGCCTTACATCATTTTCTCAAATCTTTCTTTATACTTAACATACCTCGAACAATTTAATTGCTCGATTCGTTGATATTTATAATATACATGAAAATGTTTTTGATATAAATAGAATATTTATGCACATATAGATAATATTACTATAAGATTACTATACTACTTATTACTATACTATAATTACTATAAGAAAATATACAATTAGAAAGGGAAACGAAGAGAAGAGAAGTTGTTTCGAATTCCTTCGGACTCGGCTCAAAATTTACTCAGTCCTCAACCTTGCTCGAGTTCCGTGTTGCGGCCATCACTACCGTTTTCTGCTTGTTAGGAGAGGGAAAGAGGGCCTTCAGCTTCGATCCGCATGTATCTGCGTGTGGTTCGCGAGCGAGATGGCCTCCCCGCGAAGAAACGGATGGACGAGGACGGGAAAAGCTCATTGGATGGGAACGAGAAACTCGAGAAAGAAGAACGGAGGACGACGAAGGAATGATAGAGGAAGATGGACAGTACCGCAAATAGATTGTGGAAAAAAGATGGAGAAAGAGCTAAAAAGGAGGGACGGTGAGGAGGGCAACAACTGGCAAACTCGCAACCGGACTATAAAACTTCGTACAAAACGAAAGCAACGAGCACGAACGATCAGCTTGCTCGTCCGTACACCACCGACGAGCTTTGTCATTCTATTTCACTTTCTCCCGCGTACCCAAGCGTCTCTCGTTTCTCGTCGATCGATTTTTTCAAAGTACGCCCCGCCGGCCCCGAACACGCTCGTTTAAATAAAAGATGTCTCCTCGCGGAGTTCGGGAATTTCTTTCCCAGTCCACGATTCTTTTATTCTCCTTTCTTTTTCCTTTTACTATTTCATCTGCTTTTTTTTTGTCCTTCTTCTGTCGTACTCATTCGGTTTTTCTTGTTCAACATTTCCTGGCCGGTTATCACCGAGCGAATGAAATATTCAACGTGACCACTCGCACAGCTGGAGAATTTCTCTTTTCCGTTCTTTGTCGCTATGTATAGGCTGTTTCAGAATATTATACTTATGCGTAGCTGGAGGCGTGGGTGTACGTCCGAGAAGGAGAAAGGAAATGTTGACAAACGTATATACACTGGTAGGTGTATTATGTTGGAAGGTATTGATTGTTTCGCAGGAATTTTGAGATTTTAATTAATGCGATTGTATCGTATTTGGGTGTACGCGTAGGTGTACAAAGGGTTTCGCTAATTAAAATGGAAAAAAGGTATAAATTTATGCGCATATTTTAAAGGATATTAAAGGATTTTAAGAGTATCCGAAAGTAGACACTTCAAAAGAAAGTTTTACCGTAACTTCCTTCCACTGTAATTACGGGAATAATTTCCTACAAAATTATCCAATTTCGAATTCAAGGATCTAAATCTCTGTCGAATATTTGAGAAAGAAAACTTGGGGAATAATCCAGAAGGAATTTTTAGTTACCGGTGTTTTCATCCTTTTTAATTGAAAAGTTCAATTAATATGTTCATGAATTCTAAATTCTCCTTATATTCCAATTTTTCAGATCCCAAACGTTAAATTCTACATTCTAAACTATTTATTTATAATTTACGATTTAACGGATTTAGAATTTTTATTTATTTCACTTACCAGACCACGAACCTTTATACGCTTGTGGAAAATTTCAATACGCAAAAATGTATAGGTACATTTCACTGATTTCAATGACCTTCAAATATGTTATCAAGATCAACATTTTGCACAACTTTTTTCCTACACATGTTACTGCTACTCGGCCTTAGTTTCCGAGTGAAACTTTTGTACAATTTACCTTACGATTGCACTTCATTCTGGAATAGTCAGGCGAATTTTTAACTAGTCCAACTTCAACTTAATTCGATTGACGAGAGAGATTAGCATTTTTAAATATTGCATAAATAAAGAAGAAAAGTGAATTAGGCTAAAGTAATATCCGACCGGTTGATGCAAATGGAAATACTGGCGTGAAATAATTTTCAATGAATTTATCGATGCATGAAATGT